GGATGTAAATACATCCGGATGCTTTATTACTGTAATTTCATTTAATAAATCTTCCCGCGGCCCGAGAAGAATTTCGGGCAAAATAGATTTTTAATCTGACGGCTATCAATTATATCGGTGGAATAGACGGCGACAGAGGGGGGCGAGAGAAAGGAGGAAGAGAGAGAGAGAGAGAGAAGCGAGAAAGGTGTTGCTGCCGTTTCTCCCCGCGAGGAGAAACGGCCACGTGTCCTCAGCTTCCTTTTGTGCCCGCGTCGCCTTCCGAGGAGGTGGTTGCCTCTCTCACGGCCAGCACTCTTCGCACCGTTCCCCCCGACGCTTCACCCCCCGCCCCCGAATATCGCATTTATCATGCCGCGCATCCCCTCGGGTGCTAAATCCTCTTCTTGCACCGTTGTTCCGCCGACTTCGCGCACCTTCTGTATTTTCCCGTTGCGCGTAGGTATGACGATCCTCGACGAATATTTATCATCGTCCTCGCCGAACCGACCATCGTCATCCTTCCCTCGTTTTTCTACCCTTTCTCTTTTTCTTTCATTTCTCTGCATTCGTATTTATTATTTCCAAGCCTCGAACGTGTGGTATTAATTATAGTTGAGCTGTGGATAATTGTGATGAGTCCAAAATTGATAATAAAACACTCGGAGATAGAGAGCAGAGTACTTGTACAACATTCGACGGTAGAAACAATATTTCTGTTTAGGTTATTGCAACAAATTTTTCAATCGCGTTCAACGCGAGTTTATTTCATCGAATCGCATGGAAATTAGTCTGCCGGGACGTATATAAAGGATGTATATAAAGGGACTGGGGTGTACGAAAAGGACTTGAATTTCTTTTTTCCCAATTCGCCTCCTCTCCCATCATTTATTACTACCGTCGTGTTTTCTTTTATTTTCTCTTCTACCGCTCGCTTGTTTTTCTACGTGCTCTTATACTCGCTCGTCTTTTTCATTCGATCTTTCCGTTCGTCCGGGCAACCGTCAGACTTCGAGTCTCCTTAAATTTATGGTTCTATTGAACCCCGAGCGTCGCGAGGCTATCTGCAAGAGGAAACTTCGGCCAGCTAATTACCCGCTCGCTTGCATTCTATCCTTCTGGTGTCTGAATGGCCAACGAGCAGCTGCGAGTAAGACTCTTGCTTCGAGCACGCCTCTCTGTATTCGGTTCTTTGAACACGGTTTCTGATATTGGCGGTTTGTGATGGCCCCGGTCGATGACGAGGAAATATAAATTAGGCGGATGTTCGGGGAGGCAGTTCAGCAGTTTTGATTATTCCGGACGAGAGAGATACAATTCTATCCAATTATGAGGTGTGATGTATAACCTCTGATTAATCTGCATGTACTAGCTTAGTTGTATTGGCTATCACTCGTTTTATATTAATGAGGAAATTAACACGTGTAACATCTTGGACTGTGGCAAACTGAAATTTACCTGAATAATAGTGCACTATGCGTTTTGTTAAATTAACGTAGATCAGAATTCAGTATTGCATATGTACAGTAAAGTTGCCTTATGGTTGTTGCAATCTTTATCGCATTACTGCGAGATTTGTAGAGTTCAAGCACCATAATTCTGGTGCTCGAATTTCTCACAATGTCTAGACTTCCTTCGCCGAGAACTCCGTTAGAGAACTAAAGAGAATTATTCTGATGTTTCTAGAGTTCTGCTGTAAAGAACTGTATAAAGGAGAAAGGAGCCTTAAATAAGCGAAAAGGAAAGAATAATAGGTTTCATCCTAAGGCTCTGTTAGTGGACTCAGCAAGGCTATTTATTTAGTATGTTCGTGTTTCAAACGGCAAAGACAATGGGGGGGGGGCTCGGGTTAAAGGTTAATATTCGTAGGAATTGAAATTACTAAAGAACAATTCAACGATACACGTGAATATTTCAGTACGAAATCCGTGGAAGTTTAAAACACTAGTTTCATCAAGTGATTTCAACAATTGGCAATTTTTTCCTGCACAACATTATTTCCTCTCGTAAATAAGAATCATCTCCTGAAATGAAACATTTGAAACAAAAAGAAATCAATCAAAAATTCTCATTGAAGTTTCTAACATAATCATTTTTATATTTCCCATTAGTGTACGAAGATTCACAATCTGTCGAAAATCATCCCTTGTGATGAAATGAAATATTCGAAACGAAAAGTAAATCAGTCAAAGATTCTCGTCGGAATCGTTAATAAAATTATTCTTATATGTTTTATTAATCCACAGCCTATTAAAGATCATCCCTTAAATGAAATAAATTTGAAAGGAAATTACTCGAAGATTCTCGTTGAAGCGTCTAACAAAATTATTCTTATTTTCCCATCAAATTCTACCGCAATCCTTAACATTAAAGCCAACCAATCTCTCAATACGTATAAAAATATTCTACGTGATACATTACAGTTTAATTGATAATAATTAAAATAAATCGATTCGTATAATCATGTTTCCGTCTGAACAGAATTTTCACCAAAATCAGTCCGTGAATCTTCGAGCAATTGTGAAGAGAGTAAATCTGAAATCCGCCATATTGATTTGGTCGTTCCAGTGGCGAATGAAATATATTCGAGGCATAAGTAGATCAATCGGAAAATCCTCTTCGATGGAATTCCAAGTGTCTGAAAGCACTCGACTCGCCTTGATTTCGATCGTAATCGTGTCTCCTCGCGGTTCTAACGGAACGTCAAGAACAAAGAGGAAGCTAAGGGGAACGGAAATGTTGGCAGCAGCCACCACCGCCGGTTTGAAGGAGAAGAGTCGCGAAAGTAAAACCCGCTCGAGCTCACTTTGTCCTCGCGCCCTCTCTTGCACAAGCTGTCGGAGTAGCCCTCTTCTTCGTGCAAAAACCTCGCGGATATTCGCGTGCAACTGCACACGACTTCCATACTTTCGAGAACCTGTACTGTACCTCAGCAGCGCTCGACCATTTCGCTGTTCGTTGTAATAAAGCGTCGATTTTCAGCAACGATTCAGAATGAACGATTTTTATACATTTTTTTTCTTTTTTTTTTTCGTGGGAAATACAAGTATATCCTTTGATTCCTTCTTGTTGTTTCAAACATCTCACTTTAACGGGTGATTTCTAATAGACTGTTGATGAATACAAGGATAATCTCTGACTGATTCCTCTCTTTGTTTCAAACATTTTGAATAATTTCGAATGAGGGTGTATATTGTAAAACGTTCACCAATCACTTGAATCCCTACAAATGCGTCCTTTAACCCAAGGCTGGTTCTCCTCCTCCTCCTCCTCCGTTATTAATCGCTACTCCCTTTGAAAATCCAATTGCTTTAATGAACAACGATCTCTGAAAAGACGAGTTTGAATGACGAGTCTCTCCATAACCGTCGAAATAAATATCGATTCGGTAAATACGGATGGAAAGTAATTGTCTCGTTGGCTGAAAGTGGCTCGAAACGCTTTCTCCGTTTATCTCCGCTCTGCATTGTTTTCTAGTTCAATGAAAAGTTTCTCTCGGGCGGAAAGCCCGAGAATTATGAATCCGGCCGTCGCGACTATAGCAACGCAACGTTACGATCTCTGGACTGTTATTAAGATGGAAACCCTGTTGACAGGGATTCCAAGGATTTTCGAAGTAGCTTCTTTATCTGGCCGCGCGCTTCTGAAACGTGTAAATGAGCTTAAGAATGGCGACAAGATGGATTTTCAGAGTTGTCTTAACGAACTTGCTCTCTGGACTTGGTGGAATTTATCTGATTACCGGCCACATAGAGTTAAATTGAATCTCTCTCTCTCTCTCT